ATTGCTTATTCACTACTAATGTTCAGTGGAGACATGCACGTACTCTGACAACAAAATTCAGAGCTGATACCAAGCCATGCAACATATGCTAAATTCACATGGGGAAAGGGAATACAAAAATAAATACACAAAGGGCACAGCTACTGAGATGGTAAATATTGTTTTTTCCATGCCACACCCAAACCAGAAATAGAGACAGAGGAGGCCTTAACAAAGCTTGATTCAGGTTCCTGACAGCTGACACCAACTGCTTGTTTTCCACTGAGCTGTAGGTGAATGAGACTGCCAACTTCAAAAGCATGAATTAGCCTGAGACTTAGGCTTCTTTTACTATGAGTCAATCAGAAGTAGCTGAGAAGAATAGCTCCATGGAAATGTGTAGTGTTAAAGTCATGTTAGTGCAATTGCTATCAAGCTTGCTTGCCATAAGAGAGGAAGAGCGGATAACACTTTTTTTGGAGGTAATAAACTGTCTGTACAGTAATGGGAAAGTGTGGATTCACTAGCTGGGCAAGTGGAGCCTGGATTGGCTGCGGGCTGCAGTGCCAGGACTGGGAGCTGCCCCTGCACAGTGGTCCTGGGTCCTGGTGGGGGGATTTCTGCACCAACTCGGCTTTGGGAAGGAGCACAGAGCCCAGAATGGAGAGGAGGAGATTGCTGGGTAGCTGTGCCAGGGAATAAGTGGTGCTTCTGCATCCCAGGCTATTGCACAAAGCTCAGGTGCTTAATAAGGTAGATAAAACTGGGCACTCCCACATCTACTGCTGATAAAACAGGGCTTCAAAGTAGCTGTAGGTTGAAGGGGGAAGTGAGTGTAAGACATAGAGTCCGGTCTACACATACAGCCATTGCAATAAATCCAGTGGGGAGGGTAGGTAGTCAGGGGAGGAGCAGACCTGCAGGCTGGTGGGCTCTCAGGACTGTGGACATGTTGGCTCCACATGGCTCATGTGGGTCACTCCCTGCCTCTCCTGCCTGAAGGCTGCTGTCAGATGCACTGCATCAGAGTGTATCATAAGAGCACAGCAATGCTAACCTGCCTGGAAAAAGGGCCTTAACATCCAGCACCTGCTCTGAGCACGGCAGATTCGGCAGATGTGAAATAATATGTTTTGTTATGGTCTGGAGAGCTTCTGTCCAGCACAGGCAAACCTGTGCTGATGCCAGGCTGTTTCTGCTGGCAGCACTGTGCTGGGTAGCACTGACCCCATTTGCATCGGGTTATTTCTTTTCTCCTGTCCTCTGCTGGCAGTGTGAGGATTTGATACTATTCCTACTGGAACCAGTGAGAAGAGTTGCCAGGGTGGACTTCATACTGAAAGGGTTTTTAGTCACTGGGTGTGTGTTATTCTTGATATGGAGTACTCTTTTGCTTGTTATTCAGCTCCTTCAGAAAATCAGATTGCCTGCAACAGCAAGGCATTGGACCTTGTTTACACAAATTCATACAAATAACTGCTCTTTAATGAAAAAACATAACTATATTAAAAAGCTAGAAGGGATGCAAAGTTGAGCCATGTCAAACTGGTAAGAGTAAGCCCCAAGGAGAAGGCTTACTCTTCCTTGCTATCCTAAATGGAAAAGTAACTTGTGTGAATTAATAATAGAATATTCAACCAGAAATATTTTTCTAACCAGAAAGCATCTGTGCCTTTGCAGCAAACATCTGTGATAAAGTGAAAAAAAAAGAGAGTTAAATAAACTTGTATAAAAATGGCAGACAGGGAAAAAAGTCACACAGAAAAAAAACCAAAAAACAACTTGGGCCTTTTTTCCCCCTGCCTCTGCTGTAAGTGATTAAATGTTTGGTCTCCACACAATGTATTCAGTTCTTAATAAAATTTTAAAGTTCCTCCATATGTCTAAGAGAAAGTGACCCTGAGGAGAACTTACAGGAAAATTGCTGCCTTCTTTTTTCCCCCTTTCCAGCAATCCCTTTTGACCTTTCTATGGTAACTCAATTATTTTGTCCATTTTGATATCAAACTTTCATTAAGTAAAATTACATTGCATGTTGTACCTGTTCTCCTTAGCAATACATCCTGCTTGCCAGCCCTGTTCTGTAGGTCAGCAAAAATCAACAATTTTCATGCATCATTGCTTGGACATGAAGTTTTGACATCATGCTGGATTTGGACTCCAGCACGATCAGGTGCTAAATGAGGTGCTCCTGGTTAAGGAGCAGTGGGGTTTGGCCACCTGCTCTGGTTAGCTACGCCCTCCCCACTGCTGTGTGGAAGGCACGGGCATACTCTGCTGACAGGTGATCATATATAATCCTCAGAAAGGCAGGGTCTGAAGGAAAAATTTTAAGTTCCAAACAAATATTTATTGCCTGACTACATTTCATCACATTTCAGTGGGTTGAGTGTTTCCCCTCCCCTGTCCTTTGTGAAGCAGTATCAGTGAAGACGTAGACAATGCTGAGACCATGTTTAACTGGATACAGTGTAAACACAGCAAAAGACCATCCCTCCCTGAAAGATGTGAAGAAAGGCTTTCCTAAGCTTTCATTCAGTAAAGTCTGAGAGCAAATACTTCTAGCAAGTTTGTTTCCTTGAGGTCAGGTACAAACAACAGTGTGGTTAGAGAAGGGCCTCAGCACTCACAAGTGTTTGCCTTGCACGGTGAACCACTTTTAAGCAGGCTTTCCAAGGAAGGAAGGCACGATTCCCTTCCCTTGAAGATTTGCCCTATCTTGCCACCTACCTAGAGCTGTGCAAAAAATCATCGGGTTGATTTTCAGTACTAGCCTTAAATGTGGTGCAAGTTCCCTGAGATCTGCAAACTGGAAGATCTGGATTGCCTTTTGATCAATGCTTGTCTCAGCTTTGGCGTAAAGAGAAAACTATTCTAAACTTCTGACAGTGTTTTGATTTTTATATTTGCTTGGCTTTCCCCAAAATTCTGGGGGAAAATTCTCTCTTAGGTTTCTAATTGTCTCATTTTCAGAGAGAATAACCTCTCTCTTCTTTTGTTTATGAGCAGGAAGTATTTGATTTGTGTGTCTTCCCTGTGAAACAACACTACATTTGGATCTATATTGATGTGCCAAAGCAAGAAAATAGGTTAGTTTGTTTCATCAGAAAAGAATAAAAGGTAATAATTAGAGCAGTACAAATTTCCGCACTAAGAGTAAAATTGTGGGCATGAAAACATATCTGAATTATTGGAGTGATTTGTATTCTTTTCTTTAGGAAAGGAGTTAAGGAAGGCTCTCTCTCATTCAATTTCCACTCTGTCTTTTCAGTCACAGAGTAACTTCAGTGTGTATTTTACCTTCCACCCTACAAAGACACTTTGTGTAATTAATGTGCAACAAATATAACTACTGAGCTACCAAGCTGGTTTACCATGACACATGCAACTTGCACAAACATTTCTTAGAAGAGACTGGCCATGGCAGGCTGCTTTTCATGTTTTGGGTGCAATGCCTTCTCAGTCGAAAGCCTGTGGTTGCCTGTTTATTTGGGGGTTGTGGTGTTCCTCTCCTGAGATATAAATGTAGCTTAGCAAATAAGCCCCTTATCTACAACAGTTTCTAAATAGATTTTTGTAAATAATATAGGCTCAGAAGCCAGTTACAGTAAGCTCAGAGCAGTTCTTTTAAAGTGTAGTGGTTTATTGCTGCACTCCCATCGGCACAGTTGGGAGCTACTCTGTCAGGACTTGGTACAAAGAGTTTGATAAAGAGAACTCATGGCTCAAGCTGATCTAGACTGTGCTTACATCTTAGCCCTCCTCAACACGAGACCTACTATTTTTCAAGATGGGCACCCTGAAAGTGAATGACAGTGTTTTGAAGTGCCACTGGTAAACTTGTTAGGACTCAAATTTATTTTTAATACTGATAAAGACAACTCCCTTTCTTTTCCCAAAGAAAGTTGAGAGCTTATCTGAAGAAAGTTGCTTCAGGTATTATTGTTCTCTACTTCTTTTAATATCTTCTAGGATTATGTAGAAACAAGAAAAAGAGATGTGTTTTATAGAATTTATAGAACTGTGGAAAAATTACATTACTGGCAATCGACATCCAACCTCTGTAGGAGGAAAACAATAAACAACACTTGCTGCTTTTAAGCAGTGGGAATCCTCAGGATGTGGCAATCCTATGATGCACTAGAGATCTTTAGTAAGTTTGGATTGTGTAACCATCTAGAATGCAGTCTTTAAATTCCTATAGAGGTATTAAAAACCGAGTAATTAGAACACTGTCTGAAAAAAATTACAGTTTACCAAAAATTGTCATAAGAAAAAGATCTTTGTGATAAAAATGTTAATGCTGTAGCCTGGAAAACTCCACTGCAAGTAAAAAAATTAACTCATGCAATATTGCCAGTAATTGTCAGTGAAACTTTATCATGCCGTGTGAAAACTGATTTGATTTAATGCAATTTAACTTCTTAATTTAAAATAAACTGGTTTTAACTGACTTTCCTCTTACTCTGTATTTTGCTATTTTATTCTGCTTTTATGGAACACTGTAGTACTCCCCATCTTTCATTTGCTTTTGTAAGATTTTATTTTTAAATGTACCAAATTCTAGGAGGGGAATGTAGAAATAATGTAAGTTCATTGAGGAAGTCAAATCCATTAAAATACAGTAGGATTGGTGTAAATGAAACAATGTGCAATTCATTATATAAGGAAGTTAGAAGAGTTCTAAATCATTTCATTTCAGACATCAAAGACATATTAACTCCTCCTTTACCCCACATACTCCAACTCCACCATTTCAATAACTAAGAGATCTCTAAAAACATTGCTTTTTAAATAGGTTTGGCTTAAAAATTGTTTTCTTTAGATTTTCACTGAGCCAACTCTATTTCTGAGTGTAAAAACAATCCTGACTCTACAACAGGTGGAACAAGTGAGATCAGATATTTTCAGTATAATGTTCTTAATCTGTTCTGAAAGGCAGAAAACAGAGTACAAAACATGCCCTGTAAACTGTTTCTCTAGAAAGCACAATATTAAAAGTTTAAAAGAACTTTTCCTACCTGTAGCTTTTGTGTGGATCAGGAAGTGTAGCTTTTCCTGATTACAATCTTCCATGGCTTAGCTTGGCTTCTGCATTTGAATGTTAAATATGTAAGAATGCCTTGTTTAGCTTGGGAGTTTGCATGACCTCTTAATGAGACTCTGTAGTTAGTGTCATTGGGTATTAAGGCATCATGTGACTGTAGATGAAAATAAAATCCTTTAAAGTTTGCATTTAATACTTCCTAGAATCTGTAACCCTTTACCTGCAAGCTGGATAAAAACCTGATAGAGCTCACCGTTTTCTGGCCAGGGTTAAAAGAAGGAGAAGCGGAAGAACACGTGCCACGCAATTCCTTTCCTCCGGGACAGTCACAACGACCACAACAAAGCCCGAGCCTGTCAGTGTATTCACGCTGCCATTTGCGTATTCTTTAAATTAAATCTCCCTGTATCACAAACAGTGCTGGAGGGATTTGGCAGAAAGTTCCTCTGTTGCATGTTGCCTGGCAATGACATTTATTCCCCACTGTTTCGCGTGATTCTCTAAAGAGAAAATCAGCTCTGAGGTGTATTTGCAGGCATCATGTCACATTTACCTTTGAAAGGTGCCGACTTTCCTGGAGTCATTTGGATTTGAGTGTGGTGTTTCCAGAACTGATAAGAAAGATGTTCCGTTGCCACAACCAGCTGAGAGAGTTTTCCCTGTACAAGGCAAGCACCTGGGTCATGTGTGATCTTTACCATATGTCGATGTACCTGGAAACTGTAAAACAACCTCCTGGAAAGAAAGAACTGGCACTAAGATTGGCTGTGTCCGCAGCTGGGGGGGTGCAAAGCAGGGCTAACAAAGCCTTCTCGATAACTAAATCCCTTAGGGTGTGGGGGTGTGGTTGTTTGTTTTCATTAATTTTTTTTTTTTTTTTTTGGTGTTAAACCTCATGGAGGCACTTACATGAAGTTAGGCTGCTGTATCGAGTAGGCGTGCTGTTCTCACTCTAAATAACGCCGCATTTACAGTTGCCTCCCTGCCTTGCAGGGATTGCATCCTCGCCTTCCCTGTGGAAGGAGGGTGCTGGATTAAGATCACCAAGGGCTTGGTTTCCCTGGTATCCTCTGCAGTGAGCTGAAGCCGAGGCTGTCAAACCCCTGTCAGCAGCGGGCTGGGGCAGGCCGGGCCCGGCCCGGAGCAGGGACTCGCATGCGCCACCCGGCCCCAGCCTGGCGCTGCAGGAGCCAGCACACATAGGGGCCGAAACGGCATGTGCCAGCAAAGAAATCAATAAAAGTTGCTTTGGATATTCTTATTTTAAGCAGACAAGTAAGTCATAAAGTCGTAAAGAATTGCCAGGCTAACATATCCCCAGGTTGTGAGGGCAGGTGATGGAGGCGGGAGATGCAGAGTGCAGGGCTTCCCCTTCAGCGCGGATCTGCAGCTGCGAGCAGCCCTGTGCTCGGACCGGCCTTATGGTCCTACCCAGCCGGGGGTCACCCCATGGCCGGCTCTGTGGTATTTTGCCTGTGGTATTTTACCATTGTTCTTGTGGCTGCTGGGCTAATGAGGTGGGCTAACAGGCCGAGAAACGTCCAGTAGAAAAGCTGTGTTTTAAGCCAGGAGGCCACTCAAAGCAAACACAGCGAGGCTGCGTTCCCCCTTCTCCTGATGCTCGGCATCCTTTTCAGACCCCTTCCATGGCTACTGTATTTTTTGTTCCACAGACTGTTCATTCTTGAGATTTCTCGAACCAGCACGCGGTATTCCTGTCTTACTAGAGCAGTTCTGGCCCAGCCCCTACAAACCCAACCGTGCTGTGCTTCTGAAACTATCGTTTTCTGTGAGTATGTGCGAACTGCTGGCGTCTTTTTGGGTCGATTGCCTGACAGGTTTTCACAGATGTGTCCTGCAGGAAAGGATCACTTGTCTCACCAATCCATAGTGCTTGTTCAATAACACGGGTGTAACACTTTTTCAAAGGAAAAGTAGTTGAGACATTCAGCCTTCAGACATCCTCTTTTCCCTCTAATCTCATTCTTGTACCTTAGTTCACTGTTTTGGCTGTGGTTTTCTGGAGAAAGAATGCTCCTGCTGAGATAGAAGGCTGCCTCGAAAAATTGCAGCCTAAAAGGCTAACTTTATGACTTTATATGCTATTGTCAGTGTGATATTACAGTGGGAAGTGCTGGGCAATTTACTAGCAAGCAATGGGATAATGTAGACAAATGGCAGCAAACTATCCAGCTGCTTTGGGGATGTTCTGTTTTCATCTGTGCTACAGCATGTCTGGATTTTCGCTTCAAGTCCCACCTTGCAATTCTGTGTATTTCACTTTAAATATGCTGACTAGATCTATTTTAGTCTGGAAGCTTTCTCACATGCACTGAAATGCATGTGTAATCAGAGATGTAGTAGGAGAGCAGGCAGATGATTTTATTTATACAGTACTACGTGGTGAAAGCTCTGACAGTGGGAACATGTGAACATGCCTTAAATCCATTTTTGTATATTCCCTGCTGAGGCTGGAGAGGAGCCCAGTGAGCTATCACCAAAAGAGCAGGTGCTGCACATGGAGAGTGTACCATGGCTGAGTCGGGGTGGGAGCTTCACCCACCCCGGCAAGCAGGGGCAGCATAGGTCTGGGATGACAGGACAGCAGAGGCAGGGAGAGGAGCTCGGTAGGGACAGATGTTAACAGTCACTTGGGGAAATGTGTGATTTTAAGAGCATGTTATACTGGACTGGAAACATTCCCTCAGCTCTTCTGCTTATTGGCCTCTGTTTTCAAGTGAATTGAGCACTGTATAACTTGTCCTTGATAGTGAAAGACTCTTTTTCACAGAAGGGTGATGGTTCAAACTGCTCCTGCTGGAGAAACACGTGATGAAAGGCCTCATCCTGCCTTGGGAAGGATTGTGATGACTATTCTTGCAGCCTTGACCTTTCCTGTTGAAACTGAGAATTGAGATTTTGAATTGGACCCTCACTGAGACCATCAGTTAATGCCATAAAAGTCAGGAGACTACCTCAAAAATGCAAGGAATGGTGTTCTGTAACCAGACTGGAAAGGTAAACCACAGGCAAAAATGTAGCTCACTGGTCTCCCTGCAGCCATGTGGTGATCTAGGAAGAGTAATGTCCATAACAGGTTACAAGAACCTGAATTAGGTTATATCTGTAGCATAAATACTTTATAATGATTATTAGTAACAAACCCTTGTTAGTGAAACCTATCCAGAGGCCCTAGTCCACACTTGGATGACTACATGATCAATTTTATGATTATATTAAAAAAATGCAGTGATTATATTAAAAATATGATTATATTAAAAAAATAGAATAAAAATAGATTTCAGAAGCCTGTCCTTTTGCAGTCTTAATATTTATACTAAATGAGGTATTTTTAAATCTTTAATCAACAAAATGAAACAATGCAGATTGCTGTTAACAGCTTTATGGAAGTGCCCCAGAGGACCCATTTTATAACATAGTATACAGACACATTAATAATTTTTGACAAAGAGCAAACTCTCAGGGTTTTAAACTGAAACAGTCCCCTCAGCATGCAAACACCATTTCAGCAATCAGTATTTGCTTTAAATTCTCATTGCAAAATGGCCAATACTTTTGTTTCTGCAGGTAAAGGGCTTGAGTGTGCATCATGGAAAAATCAGGGCTGGGGAACCACTGAAACCTGAATGCCTTCTGAATGCAACCTTTTCCAGGCTACATGTTAAACCACATTTTGATGTTATCTGATAATAATGTGAAACAAAGTCGAATGGCCACCGGCTGTTTGAAATGAAGTCACGGGCCATGCATTCCCCAGCTGTGGTGCAAAGGAAATGACTGATAAAAATATTTTTTCTAGCTGACCTCTGGCTTACCTTTGTCTGCCTAAGAATTTCCGGCTAATTCCCTGTTAAAGCTTTCTTGCAGCTACAGCCTATTCCTAGAATCTTCTGTGTCAGAAAATACAGACTCCACCTGAGCTTGTTTATAGATGCACTTTATCTAAAAGATAAATGAAAGCTTTGTTCTAGAGATGCAAACAGTGCTTCTTAACAAAAAGTGAATTATACTATTCACTGTTCTGTGATTACATTATATTCCATTACTACCCCAAATCAGCCACTCTTCTGGCAGACAGAGGATTTTACCCTTCCAAGATAATGAAAGAACTAACTTTCCAGTCTTACACAGGTTATGGACAGGGAGTTCAGGGTCAAAATGCACAAGTCTTGCACCATGTTTGAAAGAAGGTGGAAGTTGCCTACCTTTGGAACAGGATCCTGGGAACTGTGGTGCCTCCTCCCATTGCTTCACAGGTCTGAATTGGAGTGGGGTTTCAGGTCCCTTTTCTTGTGCTTTTTACTGGGTTGGTCACAAAAGCCTTCATGTCTGTTGATTTGCATACTGTCAGTATGCAATCTAGTCATAAACATCATCTAAGAAGGCTGGGGTTTTTTTTGGCAAATCATTGTATTTTGAATGCTTGATTTAGTTAGCTGCAATGGGAGAAATTGGAATACTGGAATTTTTCCTTATCAATACTGTCCTTAAAAATTATTTATGTACAGACCAAAGGAAGCTGCAAAGGCCACATGTCCCTCTGCCAGAGTGGAATTTCCATGAAATTAAGGGACACACACAAGTTTGCTTCCACAGTTTATTAGTACAAACAATGCATACACAAGACTGTATATTTGTTTGAAGACTGCAATAGATTTCTAATTTAACAACTCTGTAACAAAATTTAACTAAATTTGACATTTATGAAAATATAAATCTCTGATTGGGTAGGTTCTCCCAACAATACAAAGTTTACATAAAAACATTCAATATGATCTATTAGTTGCAAACCAGTTAGGAAAAATCATTCAAGTCACTTAATATACTATATTGGCTTGTACATTGAACATTCACACACTACATTAAGTTCTAACTTAGCATTCATTTCTTGGAAATTTGTGATACAGAATTCTGATTTAAAAAATAAGATTATTCTGTTTAAATAATTTGAAAATATTTCCATGGGTGTGTCATCTTTAAGATATGTAAGTAGGGGAAATTTTTCTTATACTTTCAGATGTTATCCAGTATTTTTTTTTTACTTAGGAAAATGTAGGGGTTTTTTTTTTTTTTTT